GCGTGTTGCCGGCGCGGCCGATGGACGACGGGATGGGCCCCGTGAACTGGTTGTTGGCGAGCGCGAGGTAGTTCACGGGGGAGTCGCCGAGGTTGCTGGGGATGTTGCCGGAGAACTGGTTGTTGTTGACGAAGATGGCCTCCACGATCGGGAATGAGCGGAAGAGCCCCGCCGGCACCTCGCCGTAGAACTGGTTGAACCGGATGTCGACGAAGGTGGCGTTGGTGATCCCCAGCACGTCCGCCGGGAAGGCGCAGCGAGCGAGCTTGTTGTTGCTCACGTCCAGCTCGTAGAAGTACTGCAGCGACCGGAGGATGGGCACCACGCCGCCGAAGTCGTTGGAGTTGGCGTGGAAGAGCGCCAGGTCGGGCAGCGCGTCCACGAACCCCTCCACGGTGGGCGCCTCCAGCTTGAAGCCGTTGAAGTCGACGGACGCGAGCGCCCGCTCCTTGACGTTGGGCGGCGCCTCGCAGAAGAAGCCCAGGTAGGAGGTGTTGCTGCAGATGGCGGTGCCGGTCCAGGTGTTGGTGATGCCCTGGGGGTCGCACGTTATGGTCTGCTTGAACCTCTGGATCACCAGGTACGCCCTGTACAGCCGCTCGTTCTCGAAGTCGCTCGGCTTCGGCCCGTATGACGACGGCGGCGTCGGCGACGGCGAGTACCCGCCGCCGCCCCCGCCACCACCGCCGCCGCCGATCCCAATCCCGATGCCTATCCCCCCGCCGCCGCCGTTGCCGATGCTGATGCCGAGCTGCCGCCGGCTGGCGTCGGAGGTGCGCGCCGTGAGCGCAATGCACGACGCCAGGAGGCAGAAGAGAGCGAGGCGCCGAGGCAGCGAACGCCCTGCCATTTTCTCTCTCACCGGAGGTGTCGGCAGCAGGAATGGGAACAGTGTGGCTCCTGCTTGACTCGTGTCAGGGTCCCCTCGCGCCAAGTGAAGACGGAGCGCGACTGCGCGATCGAGTGGCCCTGGCCTTCGATTACGGGGCGCAGGGGTATGTATATAAACGCCTGCGCTGTTGGCCTGTTGCACCGCGACACGGCGGGAGCTGGCCATGTGCATGCATGCATGCATGCACCGTTGGTACCGTTACTGTTGCTGCTGAAACCTGTACTCCTACAGTTGTACCTGAGGATTTACTCTTGGGGTGACTAGTGCCAGGATTGTTTCATCAGAGAAGCTGGAACTTTGCTGTCTTGTTGCTTGTTGGATGCCAGCATATCCGTGCTATTCCGTGGCCCCGGGTTACAAATGATTCGAAGAGCTCACGTGCGAGAGGAGCACAGATAGATGCATCCAGATTTGGTCGCTTTCGTAAGATGGCATAACTGTGCGGCCATTTCTTGATCGATCAAGACATCGCACCTTCCGGTTAAAAGAACGATAATGCAGAATCTACGACCTCTTGAGTCCACGCTCATCGATCATATTAACTTTTAAAAAAGGTGGACGTAAGTTCGCTCATAGGGTAGATCGAATCATGGCCCTAAGCGCGTAGAATAGAGCTGTAGTGATCGCATGGAGCTGCGGGCTACTCCATTCTCGAACTGTCAAACCAAACCAACTGCGTGTCTGTGTCTCCTTTCAAAAAGAAAAGGCGATGCCCGATCGATCTATTCATTGATCCCATCATCTGACGGCCCGGGCGTCATCAACTCCGACGCACCATGTGATGTTCATGGCGAGCTGGTCGATTTCATTACTAAGTACTACTAACCGGCGAAACTTCCACCTGCGAAGTCGGCTAGCACAGCGACGTGCCAACGTACGCCGACGCAGCTTCCACCAGGCATCGATCGACCCCCTCCCACATAGTACAGTATACTCCTACTTTGGTAGCGTACATGCGGAGGGTAGGGTGGTGGTTACATGCCACGGTGGTTGCGAGTGCGACGCCCCTTTCGCGCTCTGCCTGGCTGTTCGCTTTGGTGCTTTGCCTCCCGCTGGTACGGCACGCATGCTACTATATTCACGTACAAACGCATCCGTCGATCCATGCATCCTCCTCCTCGTCTAATCTGGCCAAAACCGACGCAGCCGCGCTTTAAAAAAAGGGGGCCGAGCTGAGTAGAGCCATAGAGGCGAAAGGTCGCCTGGTCACGGGCCGGCACATTGGTACGGCGCCCTTGTCATGTCCAATCCTCTTGCCGAACGCGGCGTCCAATAATGCGGGCGCGCCCGGCCGGATGCGCAACGTGCGTGCCTCCCGGCCCCCCGGCAGGTGAGCAGTCTGCTCTGTTCGTGCATCGCGAGCGCGCGCGGGCGGGCAGAGTATCGAGGTTGCGTCGCAGGCAGGGCACGGCGTCCCTGTCCCTGTTCATTGCCAGGGCGTTTGGTTTGGTTGTGCCGCCTAGTGCGACTGCCGGCCGGTATCTGAATCTACGCGCCTCCGTAAACTTGTCACGATCCTCTGCACAGATTAAAAGCCTCGAGATATCCACCGTGGCAAAAGAGGTGGAGAGCTGCCGTGGGTCCAAGGATTTTGGCTCTACTACCTCCCGTTTCTTGTGAATAAGTCATTATTCGCGTAGTTCTACATCTAAATATGTATTATATGTAATAAAAATATATATTTAGAAAGTACAACCGTGTAGAAGTCTAGTGATATACTTTTCATTATGTTGGCCCACATGTCATCCTGGTCATGATCACCTACTACTCTCACCGACTATGTTGACCTGCCACTCTCACTCACTATGTTGGCCTACATGTCATCCTGGTCATGATCACCTACTACTCTCACTGACTATGTTGACCTGCCATTCTCACTGACTATGTTGGTCCACATGTCATCCCGGTCGGGATCACCTGCTACTCTCGTTGACTATGTTGGCGCTCTAGTGCCCGACATACATCGAGCACCTACAACAGCTGACACTGGCGTATTGCCATGGGGGCGGGCGTGGACGGGTGGTTTCGGTTGTACAAGCCGTGGCGCCAGGGACAACACCTACTCGGCAAACGCGTGTCCTCAATGTCCTCGCGGGCGCGCCATGCTCTGCTCAGGCAACTCCATACTCGAGGTCAGTTCCGGAACTAGCCCGCCTGCTAGCCTCCCGAGGGTCCAGTAGACGGCGTCGTCACCGTCGAGATTGACCTGCACGCCACGCCCCCGGTGTTCCTCTCCGGTCACTGCCCCACCTTTTCGCCCCCTCCCCCCGTCACAACCGTACACCGGCTCCCGTCGAGCCACCTCTCTTGCTACCGTGACCGCGCTGAACCCGAGAACGCGTGCACACAAGGAAGGTTTTTTGATGGATCTGTTGTTAGGTGAGAGGGGGAAGGGAATGTCTAGATGTAAGTCGTCTGATTTTTAAATTTGGGTTAGTCGATGCTTTTGGACGTCCGATGCACATCCAAATCCAACGACGCTTGGCCATTCCTCTTCCTCGAGCTCTTCTTCTTCTTCTTCAGACCGCCGCATGAGCCGCCGGTCGAACCGCCTGCGACCACCACTCGTGGCCGGCGGTGCTCATGCGTAGCCTCACCCTCCCCGGAACCGCCCCCATCGTCAGTCTTGCCGCCACCCTGAACATCCCTCTAGACCTGGCGCCGACGGAGATTTTCTCTGGCGAACTTGCACCACCGCCTCACCTCCGCTCCCACCATCGTCGCTCTTTCGCCCCCACCCCCACCCTAAGATAGATGATGGGGTAGCCCTCCGGTGAGCCCCTTCCTTCTCCTTCCTTCCCTCCGGCCTCCTTCCTTCTCCTTGCTCTTTCTTCAAAATTGACTGACCACAATAGCTAAAGTCGGTCGACTGACATTAACCTATTGCGGGGAAGAAAAGGAAAGGAAGATGGATATGACATGTGGGTCCAAATAGTCATTGGGAGAAGCTAGTTATTCCGGTCGGGATTGTCTTCATCCCGATGCGACAAATAAGTCTAGGGTCGAAATTGCCCAAGGTCGCTGAATATAGGGTGTCGACTTGGGATTTGGAGATCCAGATTTGATTTTGACCATGCCTACAAATACAAGGTTTAAAATAGACTTTATTCGTCCAATAATGCGTGACCGTGCATCACATGTCGCTAAGAACATTTTTCGTTTGTCTGGATCCGTAGGTACAAGTATTCACTAACATGAGATTTATGCCGTCATGTCTCATGTGCCAGCAATGTTTGCGATTTTAGTGGAGACTGCTGGGAAATGCGTCAGTCTTGGAATGCGCCATAGGCGCCATTGTAGCCAAGAGCACTACTTGTAGTACAATAATTCATTTTTGCAGCAATAGTGCCAGTCCAACAACGACCACACATAATTAATTTATCACAGGTGCCAATTGCCAACTTATACATAATAAACTTCTTGAGTGAACAGTTTCTTTTGGCGTCCCAAAATTGCCAACTTATACATAATATACTAATTTCACAAGCACATTAACCATAAAATATTACACATATGTCCCAACATTGTTCTTTTTACAGAAAATAAAGGGACCAATTATTTGTAAGTTGCTTCGGTGCACTCACTTAGAAATGTTTACAGATTTCTATGCAAAGTTACCCCTTCCAACAAAAGTTTATTCTGATCTCTTATTTGATCCATTGAGAGAATAGAGAATAGAATTAGTTGATCGTACATGTATAAGAATATCATTTTTAAATAACGTTAAGATTCATGCAAAATTTTAAGAGAGTTGCACTGAAAGCAAAACTCATAAAATTAATGCCAGTCGATTTCTTTTTTCAGCCATTAGACTGTAATCACGGGGCACCGCATAAGCAAAAGGTGATGTTAAGTGCATCTCCAACGCTGACTCATGTGCCCGGCCTCTGGTTCTCCTCAGCCCGGCGCATCGTCCGTGGCCTCCGCCAACGTGTGTGCTTACCGCCGCCGTACGTATCATATTGGTTGATGTAGCATGTTCAGAGTGGATTGGAGAAGGCACCGCAGACTGGTTCTCCGGCGCGTGTTCGGCCGCGGCCGCCGGCTCGTCATCCGCGTCTGCCTCGCTATGGATGTACCATGCACATCCTCCTCCTTGGCATGATGCCTAGGTCCGCGTCGCTGCCTCTTCTAGTGCTGTCCGCGGCCGCCATGGGAGCTTGTACCAAGTGCTACGCCCGGTCCTCTTCTGCGACTCCCCCACAACGAGGTTCATGAAGATGGCCTCATCGACGTCTCGACCACAGGCCTTAGGACGACGACGTGTGGAAGTCAAGTGGACGGACTCCCGCCCCGGCGGCAGCGAAGGCAGAGGGTTATGCACACACGGCGCCAGGCTCATCCTCCGCGTCCGTGCGTCTCGGCTATGCACACACCGCGCCAGGCCCCTCCTCGGCGCCGTGCCCGCGTCCTTCGTCGGAGCGTGTACTCGCTGCCTCCTGGCTGTGCGTGTTGATGTAGTGGAGTGTGTTGGCGCGCATGAAAGAAGAAGGCACCGCCGGCCTGTTCTCCGGCGCGCGCCCGTCGTCGTCGTGGGACATCCGGAGCGCCGCACCCCGGCTGCGGATGGATAAGCAGGGCGCGCGCATGCGCGGCCGAGGTGGTTGAGTCGCTGCTGATTTTCTGGTTCGTTGTTGATGTAGTACATGCAAATAGAGTTTATCTCTTCAGCCTGGTACAATCTTATCCGCTCGGCTTGATCGATCTGAACTTCCGAACCTAGCCGGCGTACGTGGGCTCGAGCTGAATCTGCAGCCATGCATGGAAGACATGCAAGCTAAAGCATGGCTTAATAATGGGCTAGCAAAGTGTACGTTGAGTAGTTCATTATGTCTGACTAACTGCTTGTGTGTGCTAACTTGTCATTGTTAAAAAATAGAAACGCGTGCAGTCATGGTCATGGGCACTCCTTGCTCCATGTATATATGTTTGCATTACCATTTTTTTTATCATGCCCTGTGCACTAACCGTGTGGAAGTGTGTAACATTTATTCATATAAATGAAGAAATTATGGTAGAAATTTCAGCGAACATCAAAATATCCATACAAACCAGAGTATGTTCTTTATGCCAGGAGAAAACAAAACGTCCACGACTATGTATATACACGTATGTTCTCTCACGCAATTATGATTTTGATGTCGAAAATGCATTCGTCTCTTTCCCGCAAAAAAAAAAAAAATGCCTTCGTCTCATCCTACAACGTGTCCAAGGCCAAGTCTTGTTCCTGTTATTCAAGGACAAGGAGTAGACTAGTGGAGATGGCGCGGGCTGCTAACTTGTGTCAAGCTTGCGTCTAGATGTTGATTTTACTGCCATTTGTTTTTCTTCTTGATGGATGCTATTTTCTTGGCTCGTGCTATTTGCTTTTGAAAGCTCAAACTCACCGGACGTGGATTTTTGGCTCTGGGAAGCATATGCTCTCTAATAAACAGCAAAATCAAAATAACTAGTAAATAAATTTTTAAAAAATGATGTTTTTGTAGATATTCATATTAGTGATTGACAATTTTTATGCTATATGTTATAGCAGTGATTCGTTGGTTAAAAAAACAAAATTAAGTGTAACATTTGGTGGTAACATTTGGCACTCGACTTCTTTTTTTCTGCACACGTTAAAATGCTCAAGTCTTTTCTCTAGAAATTTGCATGTACCGCTTGAACGTGACAACGAACACATCTATATTTCTTTTAAATGTGACATTTGTAAACATTGTTGGCATGCAGGAACACGTGTTGCCTGGAGCCAAAATGGATTTTTGAAAACTCACCAAGACACCAACCAAATTAACTGGAGCTGAGCTTGGGTTGGCAGGAAGCCAGAGAACAGGTGAATGTGTGTGCTGCAGGATAAAACATGCTCGAAAGTTTCTCTAAGTCGATCACATATTTTATTTCTCAGAAAAAGTCCGACAGATGCTTCTACACATTCCCATCGCCATCACGTGGCAACCACAGCCGGGCAAACAAAGGCCGACTGGTCACGCGGCAAGAGAGAGCCCGGACAAACAAAGAAAAAAAAAGAATTAGAAGACCTATCGGAGGCGGCGGGTTGGCCCGGCTGTACGGCGGCTTGCCGAACCGCCACTCCGTCTTCGACAGCTTGCAGTTGGAGAAGAAGTTCATCATGCGGACCACCTCCACGTCCGGCATCACCTTGATGGACAGCCGGCATGGATCCCGGCGCCCACTCATGTTGCTGATGATGTGGGGTCGGGCTTGAAGAGGAAGCACTCGGCGCTACACGAAGGCGGCCAGCAGGTCTGAAGCCCTGAGGCCCTCTGACTCCATCATCTCGTGAAGCAGGGCGAGAGCGGTGGAGGAGGCGACCGACAGGTTCTTTGGCCGGAACCGCCAGCTGGTGCGGGGATCGGCAGGCGGGCCGGCTACGTAAGCCGGCAAGTTGATGTAGTCCCGCGGCGAGTTGACGTTCTCGACGTAGAAATACAACTTGTGCCACAGCTTGGCAGACTGCAGAATGGCGAGGGTGGGAAGCGGATCCCAGATCCGGAGCGACGCACCGCGACGCAGGCACCGCACTGGGCCACCTCGTTCTTGGCGGCGGTGCCGAGCTTGATGTAGAAGAGCTCTGCCCACAACTCGAGTGTGGGGAGCGTGCCGAGTTAGCCCTTGCATAAGGTGACGAAGGCGGAGAGCAGCACCACCGTGTTTGGAGCAAGGTGGTGGGGCTGGACTCCATAGAAATCCATGAACGAGCGAAGGAATCCGCTCGCTGGAAGGCCGAAGCCATGGAGGAAGTGCGACCGGAAGACAATGCGCTCGCCATCTTCCGGCGCCGACAAGATCTCCCTTTCGGGGGGGGGAGGGGGGGGGACGCGCACCTTGACGTTCGACGAATGGGGGAGCCACCGCGTCTAGTGGAGGAACCTCCAAGTGCCCGTCGTGGACATTGGAGCCGTCCCAGTTGATGAAGCTATGTACCTAGGGTAGGGTCATGGACCTGACCCAGACATCCTACCCTAAGACAGCACCCTAAAGCCAGGATCATTCAAAGAGTATCATCATCCACTCGACCATAGACGTTCCACTCGGAAGAGTCAATGTCACTCGACCGTCACAAAAGTCACTCGACGGGCAGAAGAGCTAAAGTCACTCTACACGAACAACGGTCGAGCATTTACTTGTAGGCTTAATTGTCATTTATAGCACCTAAATACATGCGTTACCAGTAACGTCTCCATCTTTATGTACTTTAAACCCTTTGTAACTGAGGGCGAGAGGGGTCTGGCGAACTCTATATAAGCAACCCCCCTCCTCAGGGACAAGGGTTCACACCCCCTATAACTCACACGCATATAATCCAGTGGACCGCCTCCGGGCTCCGAGACGTAGGGCTGTTAATTCCTCCGAGAAGGGCCTGAACTCGTAAAACTCGCGTGTACAACTCCTCCATAGCTAAGATCTTTGCCTCTACATCCCTACCCCCTATCTTACTGTCAGACTTAGAACCACGACAGTTGGCGCCCACTGTGGGGCAGGTGTCTTAGCGACTTGTTGGAGAAGTTGCAATTTTTCCGATCCCCATCAACATGGTTTCGGGCGGAGGTTTGGCCGAGGGCCATGAGATCCGTCTCGGTGCGCTCGTATTCGTCGCCGACGACTCCGCTTGGCTCCAAGAAGCGCCACTTGGGGGGTGTCCTCCTACGGCAGCCATCGACTCAGTATCGGTCGGCTCCTGTGCCGACCTCGCTCCCTGCAGCCCGCCGGAGCAAGCGTTCCGGTCGATCGAGGCTTCAGCGGTGGGTGAAGCATGCGGTGGCTCACCAGTCGGCCACCCCCCAAGTCGCGGCAATCGAGCCCGACGAAACTCTCTACGGCCTGTTCGACTGGCTCCATAGAGACTGCATCCGAGTGTGACAGCAGCGACCCCGCGGCGGAAGTTTTGATGGTTAATGGACCACGTAGTCCTCCTAGCTTCACCCGTGAGGACATGGGCGATGGTGGAGGCGATCCGTCGCGTGTCCACGAAGAGTACCGACCCGAACCCCTCTCTTCACAGAGGAGGGAGGAACTTCACCGCCGGAACATGGATGCACTTCACACTCCTATCGTTGGAGAAACCCTTGAGGCCCAGGCCTTGGAGAAGGCGTGTCTGGCCAACTTGGCTGAGCGCACTCGACTGGAGAACCTCCAGCGCGCACTCGACGAGCGTGCTCCCGGATCCAGTCGACGTCAACTTTTTCCACCTCCGACTCAGGTATACCGAACTCCAATCTGGAATCTCGCAGCTGCGGCCCGAATAGCGGAGTCAATTCAACCTTCCCAGTCGGAAGCTGGTCGAGGTTTGGTGCAGATCCGCGCTTTGCTCCGGGCCGCGGGAGAGCAGAATACAGTAGTATCTCAGTCGCGGAATAGGATTCACAGCAGATCCGTGGTAGCAGACAAAGTCCAGTCGGCTCACAGCCCAAGATCGCCCCCGAGGCGTGAGGGACGTGGAGACCGATGAGATCAGTACAGAAACCGTGAGCAGTATGATCACCGACTCGATCACGATGATCGTCGTCGAGTGCCCACGCCTCCCCCAAGGAGTGGATCATACATGCCTCCGCAGCAGGATGATAGACGTCCTCACAGTGGTGGGCGAAGGATTCCAGTCGACCCCAGGGAACCGGGCTTTGATGTGAGATCTATTCTCGTTCAGGGTCTGGTCGACAGAAACAGAGCTCATAGAGAAGGCCCCGACAAAGATTTTCCAACCAGCAGCAGAGTGCATGTCTCAGGTCCAGAGTGCTTCAGCAGAGCCGTCAGGGCTGCGGTGATTCCTCCCAACTTCAGGTTGGTGACTGGAGTCAGTAAGTTCACTGGTGAGTTCAAGCCTGACACTTGGCTTGAGGATTACAGAGTGGCTGTGCAGATTGGCGGTTGCAATGATGAAGTGGCCATGAAGCACATTCTTTTGATGTTAGAGGGCTCGGCCAGGGCGTGGCTGAATCAGTTAGCTCCTGGTAGTATTTATACTTGGGAAGATCTTTCTCGAGTATTTGTCAGAACATTTGAAGGTACTTGCAAGCGGCCAGCAGGGTCGACAGAATTACAGTGTTGCGTTCAGAAACCGAATGAAACTTTGAGGGATTATATCCAGAGATGGATCACGTTGCACCACACGGTGGAGAATGTGTCAGATCACCAAGCAATTTGTGCCTTCAAAGAAGGTGTTAAGTATCGGGAGTTGAATCTGAAATTCGGTCGGACAGGAGATATGACTCTGACTCGGATGATGGAGATTGCCACCAAGTACGCTAATGGTGAAGAAGAAGACCGACTCCGGAGTGGCAAGCACAAAACAGTCGCCCATGAAACCAGAGGAGGGAACTCCAGTCGGAAGCAGAAGCGCAAAGCCGAGCCAGCTGCTCCTGGAGAAGCCTTAGCCGTAACTCAAGGGAAGTTCAAGGGGAAACCCAAAGGACCGTGGAACCCCAAGAAAGTAAAAGATCAGGATGGAAATGATGTACTAGATTGACCATGCCGCATTCACACCAAGAAAGATGAAGAGGGAAATTTCATTTACCCAAAGCATACCACTCGACAGTGTCGACTCCTAATTCAGCAATTCCAAGGGAAACAGCCCAAGGAAAAGGAGAAGGAAGCGGACAAAGTTGAGGACGAGGAAGGGGACGATGATGGTTACCCCCACGTCAATTCCACTCTGATGATTTTCGCTAATGTTGAGAGTAAGAGTCGACTGAAAGTCATCAATAGAGAGGTGAACATGGTCGCCCCGATTACACCCAGTTATTTGAAGTGGTCTCAGACTGCCATTACATTTGACCAGTCCAATCACCCGCCGCATATAGCCACCCCTGGGAGGCAAGCGCTGGTGGTCGACCCAGTGGTCGAAGGTACTCGATTGACTAAAGTTCTGATGGATGGTGGCAGTGGTCTGAATATACTGTATGCAGAGACGTTGAAAGAAATGGGCATTCTGATGTCCAGACTCAGTGAAAGCAATATGAGTTTCCATGGAGTCATTCCTGGCAAGAAGGCTGCATCACTCGGCCAGATCGCCCTTGATGTAGTATTCGGAGATTCCAAGAATTACCGCAAAGAAAAGTTGACATTTGAAGTTGTGGATTTCCAGAGTGCTTATCATGCTATTCTGGGTAGGCCAGCTTATGCACGTTTTATGGCTCGACCATGTTACGTGTACCTTAAATTGAAGATGCCTGGTCCCAAAGGGGTGATCACTATCACTGGCAATCGAAAGAAGGCAGAAGAGTGCTTCCAGAAAGGTTCAAAGATCGCCGATGCACAGATGGCAGTAGTAGAATTGCAGGAATATCAAAAAATGCAGATCCGAGTGATTTTTTGCGAGCTAAGAAGCCTGCCACGGATTCAGCATTCCAGTCGTCTGCCGAAACAAAGTTGATTCACATTCACCCGACGGATCCTAATGCTGCACCGACTCACATTTCAACAACACTCAACTCCAAATAGGAAGAAGCGATCATCCAGTTCCCCCGTGAGAACTGGGACATTTTTGCATGGAAACCTTCTGACATGACAGGTGTTCCCAGGGGACTGACTGAGCATCGTTTGCGATTCGACCCAAAAGTGAAACCAGTCAAAGAACATCTTCGACGGTCCGCCGTACAAAAGGGGAAGGCAATCAGTGAAGAAGTGGCTCGACTTCTAGCAGCTGAGTTCATCTGAGAAATTTACCACTCCGAGTGGTTAGCTAATGTTGTCATGGTCCCAAAGAAGGACGACTCACTTCGCATGTGCATCGACTTCAAACATATCAATCGGGCCTGCCCGAAAGATCACTTTCCTCTCCCTTGCATCGACCAAATACTCGACTCGACCGCGAAGTGTGAACGTTTGTCCTTTTTGGATGCTTATTCCGGGTATCATCAGATCCGTCTGTATAGACCCGATGAGATAAAAATAGCTTTCATCACCCCATTTGGGTGCTTCTGTTATGTCACTATGCCATTCGGTTTGAAGAACGCCGGAGCCACAATTATGCGGATGATTCAGAAGTGTTTGCTCACTCAGATTAGTCGGAACGTGGAAGCATACATGGATGACATTGTGGTCAAGTCACGTAAAGGTTCCGACCTACTAGCTGACCTAGCTGAAACCTTTGCCAACCTCAGAAGGTATGATATCAAACTTAATCCATCAAAATGCACGTTTGGAGTTCCAGGCGGAAAATTACTCGGTTTTCTCGTTTC